ATCGGCAAGATTGGTTAACAGCAGCATAACGGCCGTTGGCGATTGCGGAGGTCGCAACATACTCGTATACGTACGCGTATACAATAACAACGTTGTTGGTTGTCATCCACATCGTCAACCGAATTCTGTCGGCAGCAGAACTAAACGAAATCATAGCAGCAGTTGCAGTTGAACCGAGCTTCAGTTCGACTCTCTTCCATGCTCAATATCAATATTGATCGGTAAACTAAAATTGTATGTCATGGAGGTCCAAGCGCGTCTCTTTTCTCGTTCAATACAAACGCAACATTTTTTTTTTATTTTTTTAGCAAAAATAAAGACCACACGCCGTTGGAACAGTGCAGGCAGCTGATGAAGTACGTATGGGTATAGCGTATGTGGCGTCATAGTTGTGTATGCCAAGGTACATTACCAACTGTTGCCAACACCAAATACCAAATACCAACGCCAACGACAGAACGAACCAACTTACTTGCCTCGTTTGTCGAATGACTCATGCACTGATATTGCGCCAGGCAATGCTTATGCTGATTTCTTCGCATGAGTATATGTAAGCTACTGATCTTCATGGATCTCCATTGAGTTGATTGTGAAGAGATTAAAGACGAGCATCACACTGTGAGAAAAAGAGTCAATTTGATCGGCGTAACAGTAACTGACTTTCAATGCAGAAAAAGTTAAAAACAAAAAACAAAAAACCAAAACTAAGAGGCACAAATATTTACAGCATTGGATCAATGGACCACCAAAGCAGCCATATAACATTTGGGGCTATATTCGCTTACGTTAAGTGTATCTAATCTATAGGGTGGTCCGACAGATTTGCGTTCTTGTAGGTAAAATATGTTGCAAAAGTTCATGCCGCATGTATGTTAGCAATAAAATTCCACCTGATATGCCTTTTGATGAAATTGAATATCTTTGCGCTGGTCTTCAACTTTTTTTTAAGCTCGATGTTCCTGTTAAGTAATGCATTATATGGTAAATTGTGCAATAATGAAACTGCAACAAATTATGGTGTGAAATATGTGTGCATCTCTCTTGACAGTTTGTATTGATCGTAAAAATGTCGCTGTCACATGTGGAAATTAAGGAAATATGATGGGTTACATATGTTTCCCAAGCTAATGTAGCAGACGGTTTATTGAGTTCTTATATTATAGAGAATTTGAATTTTTTACATAAAATATTAAGAAGAATGAAAGTGGGAATGAACTAGTGATATCATATATTACTGACCGTAGTGCAAATCACCTAAGTACCCTACAAAAGTGAGAATTAGTTTAGCTTAAGTTATAATAGAGTGTATATCTAATAGTATATAAAATATAGGCTTAACCTATTTATTCATTTAAGTTTTCTATATGATAAATTTTAAAATATATATTTTTTGCGATTTATACGTGAATTATATAGAAAAATCTATAAGTTTTAAAATGCACTTAGAATTTTTTTTATCGTCAGTTGCAACTATTTTACCATACTTAATAAAAACTAATGTTCTTAATATAGAGGCTTTGAACAGTAACAAACTGTAACAGTAAATTTTTTTATTATTTTAAATAATTAAATTTTTGGCTGACCATAAAGGTGTTTCGAGTATTTCCAAGCACCCATAATCAGTGATCTTGGAATTATTTGTTGTATTTATTTTACAACTGAAAATTCTTAAAAATCCACTTGTCTGGTGCTTAAATATTAGTATTTGTTTAAGACCGTATCACCGTATTAGTATTAGTATTAGTACCGTATCCAAATATCTATTGCTAATGCAGCACCACAACCTATAGAACTATTGAGCGTATAGCACCGCAATCGAGAGGTCTATTGAATGTATATCACTGCAATCTAAAGTTCTGTTGTCTTATATGTGCCTTATTTTTGGAGTTTTAAGATATTGTCAAGTATATAGGAGTTTTCACCTAATAAATATAATGTGGGCAAATAAAAAATATAATTAAAGTTTTGAAAATTCTAAAGAGAACAATATTACGT